ATTACCCCTCTCATCGAGCCCGCCTGTGTGGCACCTGTTTCTTATCACCCCACTAAGTTCCCGCCTCACAGGGTAGTCTGCCTAGCTATTAATCCTATATATAGCCAGTGCCTCCACCCCCGAGAGAGAGACTGAAGCACGGAAGGAGCCGCGGGGAGCGGACCGGTAGAGGCTTCGGGGGAGACTGAAGCACGGAAGGAGCCGCGGGGAGCGGACCGGTAGAGGCTTCGGGGCAGACTGAAGCACGGAAGGAGCTGTGGGGAGCGGACCGGTAGAGGCTTCGGGGCAGACTGAAGCACGGAAGGAGCCGTGGGGAGCGGACCGGTAGAGGCTTCGGGGCAGACTGAAGCACGGAAGGAGCTGTGGGGAGCGGACGGTAGAGGCTTCGGGGCAGACTGTATAAGGAGAGAATAAAGAAAAGCCTGACCACCGCCAGACCTTGTCGTGTGTCTTTCCTGCCGGCCGGGAGCGACATCGACATTTGGTGGCCCGCACGGGGATTGATCAACCCCGAGACGCGGCGGTGGACTGCATTCTCCTACACAGTGCTGCAGCTGCAGGACAGGTGAGTAGAGGATAAGCCTGGGCCCTGGGTGGCGCGCACCTACAGGGTTTGTAGACTCCTCTCAACCTCACGCGTAAGTGGCGGGTTTCTTGGGCCTCACGCGGTGAGTATGAAACATAACACCAGAACTTAAGGTAATAAAAGAGTGTAAAACATAAACATAGAAGTAAAAATAACAGAAGATATATTAAAAATGGGAAACATGCCAAGTAAAGATACACAGCCTTGGTGTTGGTCCTTCGGAGACTCCTAAAGTCCAAGGACCTCAAGGTGGGGCGTAAGACTTTAGAAAATTTCCTTGCAGAGATTGACAGCTTTGCTCCCTGGTTTCTGCCTACAGGGCATGTAAACCTGCCCTCCTGGGAAAAGTTGGGCAGAGACCTTTCCCTAGCAGAACGGGAGGGTAGAGCTTCAGTCTCTGCTCGTCCATTGTGGGAAATGATACACACGTGCCTAAAGAGTGAGGGTAGTTACGGGGGGAGCTCTCAAGAACTTGTAGAAGTACGCGAGGTGTTTGAACAGGCACAGTGAGGAAGCTCCCGAGAAGGGTCCGTCAAGGAGGGCAGAGATACAAAAGAGGAAGCCGAGGCGCGGTTTGTGTCTTTCCGCAGGAATCGGGACGAGAACCAATGTGGGTCCCAGAGAGGTTGACACGACAAGTCCCTCGACTGAAGATCAGGCCTGTTCCACCAGAGGCCAACCGCAGACCCAACAACAAGATGAGCCCTAAAAGAACTGCAGGACAATCCCTTTTTGGGGGCCTGGAACGGCTTGCTCCCCTATGTGCTACCCTTGTATACGCATGGCTCGCTCGCATGGCCTACGACCGCGTTTAAAAGTGACAGGCTTCCCACATTCTCCTCCCTAGACAACAACATGTAGCAGGGTGGGTGAGTCAATGACGGGTAAGAGCGTGCCTCCCCAGCACGACTCAACCTAAGCCAGGCCCTACCCCGTTCCGCTCGAAAGCCGCTGGATTGTTAGATAAATTTCTCTCCGAGGGGATTCGTGGAGAGAAATGAGTGCATGCCTATGTGCAACCAGGTTCCGTCCGGTTCATTCCTGGCCCTAGAAAAAAGGACGAGGGCCTCAGGGCCTTGGTGGACCCTGGGACGGCCGACCAGGGTCTACGCTAAGGGCCTACGGTGGGCCTCAGTTCGGGGCATAGGCCTCTGCACTCTATCCAGGACGGGCTGCGATGCGCGTAGCCATCATTTAAAATAAAATAGGGGGAGATGTTGGGAGCCGTGGCACTGTCAAGTCATCAGACGCGGTGATTGCGAGGCCTGTGGGAAAGTACAAAAGCCTGAGCTAGATTACCCCTCTCATCGAGCCCGCCTGTGTGGCACCTGTTTCTTATCACCCCACTAAGTTCCCGCCTCACAGGGTAGTCTGCCTAGCTATTAATCCTATATATAGCCAGTGCCTCCACCCCCGAGAGAGAGACTGAAGCACGGAAGGAGCCGCGGGGAGCGGACCGGTAGAGGCTTCGGGGGAGACTGAAGCACGGAAGGAGCCGCGGGGAGCGGACCGGTAGAGGCTTCGGGGCAGACTGAAGCACGGAAGGAGCCGCGGGGAGCGGACGGTAGAGGCTTCGGGGCAGACTGAAGCACGGAAGGAGCTGTGGGGAGCGGACGGTAGAGGCTTCGGGGCAGACTGTATAAGGAGAGAATAAAGAAAAGCCTGACCACCGCCAGACCTTGTCGTGTGTCTTTCCTGCCGGCCGGGAGCGACATCGACAATAAACTGCCCAAGCATCAAAGAAAACATTCTTTTATTTAGAATATTCATGTAGTTTGTTACCCATTTGAAATCCAAGTATTTTCGAGAATGAAATGGGAAACATTAATAGTTATCTTGGGACAACAGATATTGATCAAAATTCTCTTAATCAAACCAGGATATATGATCACTCTATGTCATTGTGTTAATATGTATGTTTAAAATTAAAATTGTTTAAATAGATAATATTCTTCTATTATTTTTAAATCATTTTAAAAGGAATACAACAGAATAAAACAAAACAATGAGAACAATATTGTGTTTCAAAGACAAGGCAGAAGGAAATCCCCCACAGTTGCTATATTACATATTGCTATCCTCTAAATAGATGCTCAGACTACTCACCAGGCCTGCAAAGTCAATCAAAAAGTTCAAGCATTAAGCTGTGTTTTACTTCACTTCCTTTCATGTCAGCCTGTGCTCCTCGGACTCAGCCAGTTACTTTCGGGTTGGGGACTCCTCTGGTCTCCCGGTCCTTGTGCGGGTTGGCTCACAGGAGGGAGCTGCTTGGCTTTCTTATTCTCTGGCCAGCATGGCTGCTTCTTGCTAACAGGGTGGCACCGGTTGAATTCTTGCTTCCGCTTCCAGTCCACAACTGCCACTTATACTTGGGTTATTATTTTTTACACTTACATTATTAAAAAATCAAAATAATTTGTATGAAATAGTGTTTTTCCAGTTCTCATTTGTCCATTCCCATCTCTTGCAATCCCAGTCTTCCTTAGCGTTTCCAACAGCTCTTCAGTGTATCTTTATATAAAAGCAAATGAATAGTTTCATGTGCCCTCTTGAATATTTTTCTTATCATCACAGAATGTGTCTCCTCAGTTTGAAAACAAGTTCTCTAATATTCCATTGCTTGTTTAATCAGTCTCCTATTGTGGAGTTCCTGAGTTGCTTCCATTCTTTTGGTATTATGAATAAAATTACAGTGCTAACTCCAAATTAAAGTGCAATATGCATGACTATTGCTATCTTTTCACCCTAAGCATGTTATTGTGTATTCTTATAAGCAATTAGTGAAAATGTTTCTTTGCAGATTCTTTACTCAAGTATGTTATAAAATTTCTGTTTCTGTGTCAATATGAAAAATAAAAGTTTCACAATTGTGTGTACCTTATTTTGAGTTAGGTTGAATATCTTTTGTTTATTAGTGCATGTTTGTAGTACATAATATTTGTATTTCTTGTGGAGAACTGGCACATATACACAACATATTTTAACTCCTTTTTTGTGCATGTTTGCAATATATAATGTTTATATCCCTTGTGTGAAGTTGGTGCATCTTAATTCCTTTTGTCATACCCTTTCTCTTTTTTCTCTTCATTTCTCCACCTCTTCCAATATATTTTCACATTTTTACAGGCCTTTATTGTTTAATAAATGCCTATCCTATTTTGGGGTCTATCTCTTTCTTTTAAAATTAAGTATCTTTAAGAAAGGGGCTATGTTTTCTGTACTTTATACATTCTCTGATATACCGTCTGGGAAAAAGAGTGTTCCATAGATATAATTAGTAAGTTACAGAATCGCTGTGATGTTTCTTTTCACACTATTTTAGTTGCATTTTATATCACCTTTTCTAAATTTTAACTCATTTTTTCCTAGGCAATGATGTTGCAACTAAATATGTCCATAATATAGGATATTAGATAAAAAGTTTCAGCATGTAAACCATTATTTTAAAACAATTATTCATCTCTTTCTTTCCAATAACACAGCCTCGTTCAATATTAGCAATGGAATTTTTGAAGTCCTGCTTTATTTACTTATATTTGTATCATTCTTTACTGTCTTATTTCCAAAACATGCACTTCAGGATGGAGCCATCAGCCCATGTTTGTAGGGTGGTGCAGTCATGTGAGAAACTGAGCCAGTTTATTTCACTTGCCTGTGCCCCTGCCCCAGAGGGACCCATACTGAGAGCGAGTCACACTCAACAGATCTAGGGTATACAATAAGGAGGCTCAAGGAGACTAGCATTTTCAGGAATGCTGGATATAAATAAGCAGGGGTAAAAGCTATACAAAGAAAGATGTTAAAGTTCTGGTGTGATCATGTGCTCAGGTCATGGGCAAAGATGGTGCAGAAGAGCTGAGAATACCTGAAGAAGAAAACTAGGAGAAGCTTTGACCTTTACTGATGAGTTCTCCTAGGGAATCACAGGGGAACTCAGAAGACGTTTGTGTTGATGTTCCTCCAAAACCCATAATCACTTTTAATTACTTTGGGGGAACTAGAGCTTATTGGTGCTGCAAGAGTTTTGAAAAACAACTGCTGCAATCATTTTTTATGTGAGGAAAGAGGAAGCTGAGGGTAAGTGAGAAGTTGCTCAGTCCAGTGTAGATTGCTTATTAGTTTCAGAGCAAGATCACAAGGCTCACCCTTGATTTTGAAAAAAAAAAAGTGCCCAAGAATTCTAATCCACAATTTTCCCTTTGAGAATCATTGGTCCATTATTTTAGAACACACTGTGTGGCTGTTGGGTAATGATCAAGTATTATGAACCTAAGAATTTAGGGTTCACTCTCAAAGCTCTTATACTTTCATTTTCTGTATCTTCATTTTCTAATTCTTACCAATATAATCTGTACACTCAGAAATAGGCTTCCTGAGAGAGGCCTCAGTGATGGCATTTAGGTGACTTTTTTTTTTCTTTAGCATAGACAGATTTGCTGGGAAATATATGAGGGAGAGGTATAGAAATTTTCCCTCTCTCCTTTTATGATAGTGACGTAGGAAGGAAATGAAGCTGCTTGAATTTCTAAAGCTGAGTATTATAAAAAGGATAAACTGGGATGAGGAACTCTCCTTTCTAGGTCTGAACCAGTCACTCACAGACACTGTAATGTGAGACAACCAATTTTTTTTTTTTTTTTTTTTTGCTTTGGGGCTGTATTTCCTCCATTGTAAGCAGATGAGTTTATTAGACGATGTTTAAGTTTTTTCAGTGCTCACATTTGGGGCCAATGGCACTGATAAAATTTTCTAAATAAAGAATCCTGAAATCACTGTTTTTGCCTTTTCCTCTCCTTGCTAGGAATTATGGCTCATGTCAACCACACCTGGATCCAGACTTTCATCCTTGCAGGTTTTAATACCTCTGAGGCCCTACGACCTCTTGCATTCTTGGGGATCCTGTGTGTTTACCTCCTCACCCTTGCAGGAAACTTGTTCATCATTGTCCTGATTAAGACAGATGCCGGACTCTCCACACCCATGTACTTCTTTATCAGTGTCCTGTCCTTCCTGGAGCTCTGGTGCGTCAGCACCACGGTGCCCACCCTGCTGCACACCTTACTCCATGGGAGTGTACCCATCTCTTCAGCCATATGCTTCACACAGCTGTATGTTTTCCACTCTTTGGGCATGACTGAATGCTACCTGCTGTGTGTGATGGCGTTGGATCGCTACCTTGCCATCTGTCGCCCACTCCACTACCATGCCCTCATGAGCACACAGGTACAGCAATGGTTAGCAGGGGCTACTTGGGTGGCTGGCTTCTCAGGTGCAGTTGTGCCAGCCACTCTCACTGCCATTCTGCCCTATTGCTTGAAGGAAGTAGCTCATTATTTCTGTGACCTGGCACCCCTAATGCAGTTGGCCTGTGAGGACCCAGGCTGGCTCGCTCAAGTCCATGGGGCAGTGATTGGGGTGGCTACTGGATGTAACTTTGTGCTTATTCTGGGACTCTATGGAGGCATCCTGAGAACAGTGCTAAAACTGCCCTCCGCTACCAGTCGTGCTAAGGCCTTTTCCACCTGCTCTTCCCACATGACTGTAGTGGCACTCTTCTATGGTTCTGCCTTCACTGTATATGTGAGTTCACCAGGGAGCCGACCTGAGGGCACTGACAAGCTTATTGCTTTAGTGTATGCCCTCCTTACTCCATTTCTCAATCCTATCATCTATACTCTACGCAACAAGGAAGTGAAGGAGGCTGTGAGGAGGGCCACTGACAGAATTAGGACACTTTGGGTGGGACTCTTAGAATCTCTTTTGGTGTAATTCATATTCTGAGTAACTGCAAGAATCAGCTCTTTGGGCATTCATCTGGTCAGAATCAAAGTAAGAATCCATAAAATAATCTATCAGATTATTAGTTAAATATGTTGCAAACATTCAAATGAAACATGTAGGTTGAAGAGTTATATCCCCAAAGTACTGGGAACAAAATGTTACAAGGTAGAAGAAACAAGATCACAGGAAGTATTTCAGTTGATTTGGAAGAGGAAGTGCAACTGTGAAAGAAAGAAGAGTAACTAAGGCTAGTAGCTGGTATGTTAGTTAAGAAAGAATTTTAGAGGAAGTTTAAAAAGAGGGTATAACAAGATTGGTTTCAAAATCAAGCCAGACTAAAATTATAGACAGTGTGACATTTCAGAGTAGTGAGAAAGGAGAGAGAACTTTCAAGTTGGAGTCCTCCGATGCTGCATAATTATGTGACCAAAGGCAGCTTAGTAGAGGACAGAATTCTCTGGGCAGGTAGGTAGAAACTAGAGATGAGAACTTATCATCTTATTGGACAAGAGTATGGTATTGGAGATGAAAATATTGTCTGAGTTCTTTTTTTTTTCTGTAACATGTAAGCCAACTAGAAACAGAATTTGAAGCCGTATTTCACGGAAACCAGCAAATAAACACAAAGCTTAAAAATTTTGTGTATAGGGTTCGTACATATAGAGTAGAAAAGAGACTGAAACTCAAAGCAGAGATAGAACTGTATTTTCTAAACATACCCTAGAACACATCTCCTTCAGCTTTCCATATTTGAGTATTTATTACAATTAGAAAAATGTTGGTTGAGAATGATGTCTTTTTTTTTTTTTTTGTCTATATGAACTTCAGTAAAAAAATTGTACCTTCCTTCTGTCTTCTATTTTGGTCTCCTTAAAAAGATCTACAACAGGGCTGGGGGTTTAGCTCAGCAGCACAAATGCCTCCTTGACAAGCTCACGGTCATGAGTTTGATCTCCAGTACCAAGAACAAATAGACCTACAACAAAAAATTCAAAATTTATATGACCTTAAACACACAAAGTGTCCCCAAACAAATATAATTTCTCATAGACAGGGAGTGCCATGGCTAGAGAAGATACATTGCATTTGTCCTGCTTGAGTCCAAACATGAATTCTATTGTTTAATTTCTACTTGGCCTTATGCAATACACATAATGTCTCTGTGTCTCAGTTTTTCAGATCTGTAAAATGAGCAACAAAGAGGGCTTTAAATGTTATGGAAAAGTCAAAGATTTTTGCTTCAAAATTATGTTTTCTTCTACATACATTTCTGAAGCGAGGATTTATTTCCTTGAGAATGCATGCTTTTATAACTTTCTCACATTGCAATATGCACATAGTTAGTAAACTTACTAACATCCATCTCTTTAGGAGCTAAGTGACCAAGTCCTCTTCCCGTAAACTGAGGAGTATCTGTGCTGTTATGAAGTCTATGGTATTTTGCTGAATGCTGGGTGTAATCCTTCATTCTGCTGGCCTTCTATTGCTTTCTAACTGCTTTAAGTTTTCCTTTCCACTTCATTTCACTCAGACCACCCATGTTTTGTAGGGCATGACAGGAACTCTGTGGTTTCCTCTGGTAGCAGCCTTAATGCATGTCAGGAAACAGCTTATCTTTAAAGGTTTGTGGATGAGGGATTTAGTTCATTGGTGCAGTGTCTGTCTGACAAATGTGAGACCCTGAGTTTGATTTCTGATATCTGCACCCTCCCCAGGAAAAAGATTTGTATCACATTAATTAGTAGCTCTATTAATGAATTCTTTTGGGACTATACTCTGTAGGTTCAGACATTTACTCTGGTTGTAAAGACATAAATAGCAGGATACCAACTCAAAGCGCTATGGACTGCACCATTGATTCCTGGCACAACAGCTGGTATTCATGTATACTTGAATAAATGAACAAATTCTTAAGAGTCAAATGAGTATTGTAGATATTAAATTCTCCTGTAACTCCACCAAAGAAAACTATTTTCACCCATCCACTCATAACTCCAAGCTATCCTCTCATTTCATTCTATAATTTTTCTCTTTTAAAATCTGCTTATTTCTCCATTTACAATTTAGTTTATGTCATCCTTAGCACAGAGCTTCTCAGCATATACAACTAGCATGTATGCGGAGTTCCGGAGTTCTTGTGGTGGAAGACTTACCATATGAATGGCCAGCTAAAGTTCACTAGAGTCCAGTCCTAGGAAGGTCTCTGGCAGAAAGCACCCTTTCTGTTCACCTCACTGTGCCCTATAAATATCAACAGTTCTTGTAAGTGCTATGACTAGGTGAGTAGTACTTAGTGTGTGAAATGTTGGGGTGAAAAGCCAAGGTAACTCTCATATTTACATCTGGACACTGATTTACATCTGGACACAGATAATAAGAATCAAGGGCTAAAGGGCCACACAATCACACCACTTACTTTGCATGAGCGTTAAGGCTAACATTCTATCATGCGGCACGTTTAATTTTTATCCCAAACACAATTAAGTAAGAAAGCCAGAGGAGGTGCTGTTTAAAAACAAAAAACAAACAAAACACCCACCTGTGGTGTTAGTGGAATAGGGCAAACTTAAATAATGACTTAATGATCACAACATACCACTGCACTTAGATTTTTTATATAAAATATAATTTTATTTTTGTGAATGAATAATTTCCCTTAAGGGCCCAAAACTTAATGCAGTGCAAAATAATTTATAAAAAAGTCTTTCTCTAACTCTGACCTATAAGATCCTGTGTATTACTTACCAACCTCTGATGACCTTCAATTGTCTTCTTGTATGAATATGTTTGCTTTGTAAAATTCAGAAAAGACCAATATTTTTACCTCCCATTCTTATGCATAAGGTCCCATACCATTTACTTTATTCTGTCCTCTGTTTCCTTTTCCTAATAATAAGTGTTAAAGATCCATGTTTTTATGGAGAATATGCACTCATTTTAAAATAATAGCTCTGTAGTATTCCAGGCATCTTTAATTTCACCAGTATTCTGTGAAAGGAACCCATTGTTTCTAGGTTTTAATTGTTAAACTATCATTGCAATGAATAACCATGTATATGCATCCTTTTCTGAATATTACATACAAATTTCTGCAAGTGAGAATCCTGGGTCATAGTACACATGACTTTAGTAAATATTCCTGAGTTTTCTTCAGAAGTAATTATATTATTTAACTCTCCCACCAACAAGGAATGAAAATATATTTCTTTACAACAACTTCAATAGTTTTTCATAAACTCTTAAATATTTGTAAATGTGAAATCTGAGACATTAATTATTCCTCTAATTTTATAATTCAAATCTATCTTATTATATTTGAGGTAAAATTTTCCTTTAAATTGAAATAAGCATATATTTTATATTATTTGCATTTGTGAATCTCCCCTCTCCCTTTGCAGAGTAAATATCTTAAAGAAAAAATCAGTATTTTATCCATTTCATCCAACTATCTACAATAAGGTATGGAGAAAAATAGACATTTAGAACTTGTATTAAGTAAATGAATAAATAACTATTATAAAACTGTAGTATTTTAATTATAGATGGCTTTATTTTTAATTCATAGTATTTTAATTATAGATGGCTTTATTTTTTCTAACCATTAAATCACATTTTAAAATAGTGTTTTACTGTCATGTATGAATACAAATTCCCTATGATGAATATGATCGTTTTGTATAACTAAAATGTAGCAATAAATTTAATTCTTAAAAATGTATAGGACATGGGCTTAAGTGTAGGGAGAAAAGACCACAGAAGGCTGTAATGAGAAAGCCCAGCAAAGGGGCCTCAGGTATAACCTTGAATTTGGACCTCTCTAGAACTGTGAGCAAATAAATTTCTATTGTTTAAGCCATTAAATCTGTTGTATTTTGATATGGAATGTTCTAGAAAATTAATACATATCCTCCTTTCCCAGTTAAAGTTGCAAGGAATGTGTCCTCTTTTTTTTTTTTTTTTTTTTTAAGTATGGTCATAACCCCATTACTACCATCGTAAGCTAATGCTAAATGTAGGGAAAAACAACAACAACAACAACAACAACAACAACAACAAAAAAAACACTGGACATTGGTACTATTGGAAATGCTTGGTGTTTTGTTTGCCTTTTCCCCCACTGATTTAGTGGCATTATGTGTTGTCTTATTTATGGAAGTTCACATCACTACTATGTACACATAGTAGGTAACAAGTTTCAAAGCTTAAGAACCATTGGATTCTTGAGGAAAGGCTTAGGAAGTGGCTTAGATTTGGTGCAATTACATCTGCACACATTGAGGTTTGAATAACTATTCACCCATGCTGAAGGAGACTGCAGTGCTACCTCCTCAGGTCCAGTAATGGATAGATGGCTTCTGACTGTGCTACCAATAGCCCTTGCTTTGCTCTCTGACAAGGAGATTATATTACCAAAGGTATGCATGTAGAAATATGTGCATTCACTTTAGGCAAAAAGTATGAAGTCCATACTTGCTGACTTTAAGTCTTTTATTTATGTGTGACTTGAATTTTATATGTTTTCTATGAAAGAGCTGAAATTCTGGTTAATATTCCAAACTACTTTTGTTTTTATAAAAGTTTACAACAAACTCCAGTTGACTCTTTTTGTTTTTCAATTACTTCTTCAAAATTATGCTTCTTCAAATATACTTATTAGGGATCATAGCGAAGTCTCTTGCAGTCTCTAATCTTATAGGGAGGTATTATTGCTATCTACAGTTTATAAATGGGGCATCTTGTCCTTAGGTCACAGAACATTCTCAAAATTAATATCAGAGATGATTAGTGAATAAACCCTTATTGCTTGGGAAATATCACAAAGAATCAACAACTGTGATCTCGTCTTATTAGAAAGCTTTTGCATGGCAAAAGACACCACCAACAGAGTAAAGAGACCACCTGCAATGTAGGAAAAAAATTACCAGCTGTTCGCTAGACAAACAACTAATATTTAATATCTAGAATATATAAAGAATTAAGAAAAAATA